AGCTCACATACTGTCAACTGAGTACAGTATGACTTTAATATCCTATTCAATTTCACAGAATCACAGAATATTAGGAGTTGGAAGGGACCTCTGCAGATCATCCAGTCCAACTCCCCTGACAGAGCAGGATCACCTATACCAGGTCACACAGGAATGTGTCCAGGCAGGTTTTGAATGTCTCCAGAGAAGGAGACTCCACAACCTCTCTGGGCAGCCTGGTCCAGTGCTCTGTCACACTTACAGTGAAAAAGTTTTTCCTTATGTTCACATGGAACTTCCTATACTCCAGCTTGCTCCCATTGCCCCTTGTCCTGTCACTGGACATCATTTGACTTTGTCTACTTCTCTTTGGTATTGGTGGCACTGTTTTTTCATAAAAACAGATTAGTCAATCATTACTTGGACTGCAACAGCCACAGAAAAAAATGTTCTCTTTGTCTAAACAGAACTCCTGATATTACAGATGTATAGCATGAAAAGAACATACCTATGTTAATGCATGTAATAAAAAAATTATTAGCAACATCTCGCACAACTGGCTTTTGAATGATTTTATAAATTAAGGAGAACAAACATCCTTAGCCATGATTTTTCTTATGCTAATTCTTTAATACAAGCACACTTCAAAATAATTAATCACTAAATTCCATGAACATAATTAAAGAAATGAGAAGTTTAAGGTGTATGCGCCTGGCATGGCATGGTGTGGGTTAAATGCCTCAAAGCAGGTGATTCTCAAGGAGCGACCCCCAAGTGGCAGGAGTGGCCTTGCTGGAGAGCATGTCCAGACCTACCCAGGTGAGGGGCGTGTCATGACCTGCTGTGTGCCCTATCACCTGGTACAGGCAAGGGGGGTGGGGGAAGAGTTTAAATACCCCCACTTAAGCCTGAGACCGTGTGTTCACCTGCCATCTTCCAACCTGGACTCAACAAAGAAACTGCTTGTCCAGCTGCCATCTTAAACATGTGCTGATACACCAGAGACCTTGGAAGTGGTGACTATCTTTCACCTTTTCTACTTCTCTGATATCTATTTCTTTCTTTACTCTCCCTTTACTCATTTTCTTGTTCTCTTTTCCTTTTTCCGACACGTGCGGCTGCAGTGGGCTCTAGCTGGCAGTTTAGGTTTTGGGTTTTGATTTTGATTAAGACAGTATTAAGCTAAGTTGTCTTGGTTCTGCTAGTCAAATTATTTTAGTGTTGCTAAGTTGCACCATGTTCCGGTAATTTTGGGGCCATTTCGCTTTCTTGTCTGTATTCCGTCACCTATGGGTTGTTGGAAAGTTTGAATCCAGTGTTTTTCAAGGCATGTATCTTATTTAGTAAAAATATTGCTTACACTCCTCTCCTGAGTGATTTGTATTGCTCTGTCGTCATGCCGGGATAAAAGAGCTCACTTTTTAAAGCGGGCCGTGACATAAGGCAGTCTCAGGAATTCCAAAACAAATGCAAAAGAAACAAATAGGCTATATATCCCCAGTGCCTTAAAAGCCCATAGAAAATATTGCTCCAAAAAACAGCTGATAAATGGAAAGTGGTCATATCTGAAATCCAAGAAAAAAAGAAAAAAAAGGAAGCGATGACTACTGAGTTCTGCCCACACACCTCTTAATTAAGAAGTATATCATGAGCTTGACTCCCAGAATTCAAATTTTAAATTTTAATTTGTGAGCACGTGTGTGTATGCACATGCTTATATTGTGGGCAAAATCACCAAAGTGTCTACATTAGGTATTGCTTTAAGCAAAATGCAGGTACTTGATCACGGCAGGCTAACCCAGACTACATTAAATGCCTGTGCTCACTGTACATGAAGTGGAGAGACCAAGATGGTACTGAGGGTGATCCAGAAAGCTAAACAGTATGTGAGCAGTCTGGAGAATGTCAGTAAGAAACCCCACATGTAGGTAAGCACTTGGCTTCTATTTTCTTGTCTTACACTTTACTCCTCTCAAGCACTGAGGTTGCTCTGGGTAGACAGGGAGGTAACAGTGGGGTCATGCTGGATGAGGATAGTCAGCTCCATCCCTTCCCCAGCCAGGAAGGTTCAGCCTTGTGATCTCCAGGCAGGAGTAATGTCCCACCCCACACTGGAGGCAATGCTAGGGAGGCAGAAGCCTCTGTGCCTCCCTTCTAGGATACCCAGCTAAAAAGGAAAAAGTCCTGGAGGGGAACTTAAGCAAGTAAGAGGGAATAAATGTTCTAGCTTAGTCCTCAGGCAATGGGCCAGAAGATACCTGAATTACAGGTGTTTTAATCAAATTGCTAACATAAATGTAGTTTTGTGAATATAATTACATTTCCCTGGTCTCAACCAAATCCCTTATCCACTAACTTGTTACATAAAAAGGGGAGGGTGGGAGTGGGAGGATGACAATATTTTCCAGGGAAAGCAGCTGCATGTGTTACTCATGCTTAACAGAGGGGGCTGCTGCAAAGGATAAGGCAGAAAGAAGCAGAGTGTATCTGCTGCTCTGCCTGGTGCTTCCGTCTGGGCTCACTGAAGGGGAGCTGTGGTGAGGTGCTGCTGGAAAATAGGGTTTTTCTCTTTCTGCCTGCTGAGGTTCCATTTAGACAAGAATTCAGATGGCCTTGCATGCAGACACATCCAATTGGTATTTACAGATACAATGTGATGTTTGGAAACCTCAACATAACCAAGACCTATTTATAATGGACTAACATCTCCTGAAGTGCAATACTGTAACTACGTGAAAATACAAAACAGATAGTGTCATTTCAAAATACTAAATGGCACATATAAATGTCTATTTCCTGCCCTATTTCTCTGGGCTAGCAAAATAACAGCATTCATGGAACAATGCTTCTTATGCCAGGTTTAAACTGGAAGTAAATTTTAACAGCCTATGAATGGAAAAGCTTGAAATCAGCAGATTGCAGCAGAAACATGAGTGGTTGAGCACTGCACAGGGCAGAGCTGCACTGAGACAACTGCTCCAGGTAGAACTGCAGACACTCCCAAAGGTGCCATGCAACAGCACAGGGCTGCATCCATCGTTAAGCTCCTCTCCACTCTGAGCAAGTAATTGGGATAGTAAAATTGGGCAAAGAAGCAGTCTAACCTTTATTTTACCCAGAGGGCCAAGTAAGTGCCTCTGCATAGTTCATAATGGATATCATCACATCAGGCTGGCACTAACTTGGCTATTTCTGCACTATGCCTCATTTCTCAGTGTAGTCCTATAGGATTTTACAGCTCTGGTCCATTTATAGACATTGAGTGTTCCCTAGGTTTATTGTTTTATTCAGAACACACATAAATAAAAATGCTCAGCGTTTCTCACAGATAAGATGTGGAACCATCCATACGATGTGCTGGCTATTCAACCCCTCCTGTTGATGGTATACCACTCGCAAAACATTTGCGTATTCACTGAGTGGGAGAGATACTGACTCTGTAGCCTGATGCTTAGAGTGGGAGGCAAAACACGTGGATTCCAGTTCTTACTTCAGGGAAAGTTTAATTATGCAAAGTGCGTAAGACTTGGCAGGACCAACTGACAACCACCGTAAAGGTGATCATAGCCCTGTCACAGTGATGGAAATTATGAGTTGATGCCTCTGTTAGCAGAGAAGAGAAATGAATCCAGATTCTTTGGTATTCTGGTTGAACAACCAAAACCCCTGGTCTTGGATAAAATGAGGACACAGACACCAACTTTTATCAATTCCATGTGCCTATGAGAAAGAAAAAATACTGTATCAAGTCAACCTAGAGGTGTGGACAGTTTCAAAGGAAGCAAACTGTATTCTTAAGCAAACAGCTAACTTGCTAAAAATATTTAATTCACCTATCCAGGTATCTTAGTTATTATACAGATATCTGTGACCTTAAAAATTACTCTAACAGATTGCTATATTGCTTTGTCTCTAGCATGGTTTTTTTTCAAGAGATAGTTATATATCATATGTATTTCAGTGCAGCACCATGACAAAATATAACGACATGTTGGTGAAAGCTATCTCTTGACTTAAATCAAGATGATTTTTTTTCCTCCTTTGGAAGCACTCAGGAAGATTAATTAAAACATTTTGCTAAAAAAAGTATTCATAAGTTAGAATATCAGAAAGTTAGTACCAAACTTCTAATGCAGAACTACCTGGAGAATTCATTAGAGAGACTTTGACTGATGTTAACAAAACCAAGGCTCGGCCAGCAGGATAGAAGAGCATTTTGAGACATGTGAAGCTCATAAATTATAGCAGGTTCAGGATCTTCATGCCACTCATTCCGCATCTGTGTGTAAGGAGATGTGCAGCCACATCCTCTTGATAATCCAAAAGCTCTTGGCTGCTATATTACAGCATTCTGGTTCAAGGCAACTTCAGGTTTAGCAAATTACTTTACCATATTTGTGGATTTAATGCCTGCAAGTGAGAGTTCTGGACATTCATCTCAGCTATCTTGAAGGTAAATTACAAAGGGACAGGCAGGATTTTCCATAACACATGAAACATCTTTTTTCTTCTCGTTGAACTATATTAGATCCATGACACTTTGGAACAGAAATACACTCTTGGTCATATCCCAAATTTGCATTCTTGTTCTACAGTCTCCGTAAGTAGGGAAGGACTTACATGAGGCTCACCTAGAACTCTTCTAAGTTTAATTTTATATTTATAGCCAGGGAAGCATTTACTTGAACCTTATCATATATAATAACTGTCAATAAATTACCAAACATGGAAAGTACACAGTAACTTTACCATATGTGTGTATATATATATATATAATGTGTGTG